AGAGAGACAGAGACAGAGACAGAGACAGAGAGACAGAGACAGAGAGACAGAGAGAGAGAGACAGAGAGAGACAGAGAGAGAGACAGAGAGAGAGAGACAGAGAGAGAGAGACAGAGAGAGGAAAGGAAGGTTAGGGAAGAAAGAGAAGAAAGAAGAAAAGGAAGGAAGGAAAGAAGGGAAAGGAAGGGAGAAACAAAGTCAACAAGGAAGGAGAAGGGGTCTTGCGACAATACTACAAAGAGCATGCGCTTATCAGACTGTTTAGACTTTAGCGCTTATTCTGTTCTCAATCAAGGGACAGTTAGGGAGGCCCCAGAACTTCCTGACATCTCATTTCTATCATTAGTGAAGTTCGTTGGTAAACTACAGGTGAAAAATTTATGGAAAGAAAATCTGGCCCATAATAATAGCCAGAGAAGGAAAAACAAAACCCCTACAGCAGCCGCCCCCCCCCCAAGGTCAGGAAAACGCCTCCACGTGCCTCCAACCCCATCCCCAGCTCATCAGTGCCTCTTGCCACAGTGTAGCATGTGGGCTCCCCGACACCGCCCCGCACACAGTCCTCCAGGGCTCCGGGCTCACCTTGTCGTAGTAGTAGCGCAGGGCTCTGCTCAGCTTGTCGTAGTTCATATTCGTCTTGTTCTTCCGGAGTCCCCACAGCTTGGCCACCTCCTCCGCCTTGAGGAGCTTGAACTCGCCATCGTTGGAGGTCCAGCAGATGAGGTGCTCGTGCTTCTGGTCCAGCAGCAGCTGCAACAGGAACTGCCACAGGGTGATGGCACTCTCCATACCTGCGGGAGAGGGGCCGGTCAGGGAGGGACTCGCGCGGCCACCCCACATACTGGCACAGTGCGCACACGCAAGGGGACCCCAGCTGGGGCCCTGCACAAGAGCTTTCTGGCTGCATTTCTGAAAGCAGCTTGCATCCAGAAGCACAGGGCATCCCGGGGCCCAGGGACTTAGAACCTGCAATGCTACCATGTGCAAGAGCGTCAAGGGAAGGGGCTGAGATGGGCACCTTCAGGAAGGGGGCAGTCAGTTCTCCCTGCCTTGAGCTAACAGCACGCGGATCACCACTTCAGCCAACTGGTCATCCTCCCTGGTGACACCTAGCCCACTCTATGCCAAAATGCTGGGCCCTGGGCTCAGAGCACTTGCAGAGCCTGAGGTGGATGCGATGGATGCGACGGTCCCTTCCTGTCACACAAGCATTTGATCAGGTTACCCTGCATGACTGGGAAGCTCACATCCAGGCACAAGGACCACTGTGACAGGTGACAAGCTGATGGGTGCTGGTGGCAATGGAGCATCAGTCAGTCACTGACTTTTGAAGAAACCGTTCCTTGCACCTCACAGGCTCCCCTGGCTGTGCCGCCTGGTGGCCTCCAGAGGGCCGCGCTGGAGTTCTCAGCCTCAGGCAGGGAGGAAGCGCCACAGACGCCAGTACTGACGCAAAAGCTGCCCTCCCAGGCCAGGACAAGCTGAAGGAGCCAGGGAACGTTGCCTCTCTGGGCAGGGGATGTGGGGTGACACCAACAAGGTACAGTCAGGAAGACGCGCAGGAGACCGGAAGCCACGAAGACAGCCTCCTGGGGGGTCCTGTGTGCCCCCTCCGCCCCACCCCCAGCTCCCTATCCCCCCCTCACTCCCCACCTCCCCACCCCACACTCCCTGCTTCTGAACTGCGGCTGTCAGATTCTAACCCAGGCCAGGAAAATACCTGTCCCCCATTAGGCCCCCGTTGGGACTCGGGCCTTGCTACTTCCCGACTCACGTTCATTCTAAGGCACGTTCCTCGTGGATGCCGAGCGCCTCCGTTAAAGTCCAGCAGATGGGGAACGCGCTCCAGATGGCCACACGGCACTCTACTCTTGGCCCTTTAACAGGGAGACTCCTCCCCAAAATCAGTGTTCAGCTTGGTGGCTGCTGGGTCTGCACAGCAGTAAATCAGTTCACTGCCCCCCACATCCCGAGTCCCCAAAGTACAAGAGCTGGGCTGCGGGGGGAGGGGGGCATCCGTGCGCTCTTGCCACCCCGCTGGCAGTTGGAGCGCAGCTGCAGACTTCCTTCTCGCCTGCCCCTGGCGCTCAGTTGTCTCAAATTCTTGGCGTCTTCTGCGCCGAACACTTCAGGAGGTTAAGTTTTTAAATACCTTTGAAACTTCCACTCTGCCACTCTGGAGGCCGAGGCAGGCGACTTCCAGGCCAACCTGGGCTAGCTACATAGTAAGAAGTCAGCCTGAGCTGTATGAGACCCTGTCTCAGAAGAGTAATAGTAAATATGTAAGTATCCTTGAAACTTTAAACACAGATGCTCCAAGGAACTGTTCAGGGGGGCAGCGCTGCAGAGGCAGATGGCAAAGCGCCAGGCCACTATCTCCCCCTCTGGCACATTCCCCAGGGGCAGCTGGGGGACAGAAGCACCCAGCCATGACCGCCTTGCACTCACGTGCACCCATCCCTGAGGCCAGACAGGAAACACCGGAGTCCTTGCTCTCTGCTCCCCAGCCCTGCCTTGGACCCAATGAGACAGCAGGTACAACAGGCCCTCTCTGAGCCAGGTCTTCAGGGCTGTGGGCTCTGCCCTGCCCCTCCTGGGTCCAGGCTGCCCTGAAGCTGCTGCCCCAGGACCAGATCCATGAGCAGGGCCACCAATCCAGGGCCAAGAGCAGCATCCCCACTGGCAAGGAAGGAACTACGAGGTGTTGAAGCCAACAACGGGAGATGGCTTGACTAGCAGTCACGTGGCAGGGAGAACTGTCACACACGCCCATGTCACAGCAGAGCTCTGATCCATGACACCAAGGCGAGACTCGACTGGAAAAAGCCAGTGCCTGATGAAGGGACCTGGAACACCCAGACACGGAGGTTACAGGGGCTGAGTGATGGCCTCGGGACTCCATGGTGAAGGCAGAAGTGGGGAAGGAAGCAAGCAGGAGCTGAAACTGGGAGTCCAAGCTATCCGCCCAATCCCAGCCCCACAGAGCTTGGGCAGCATCCGGGTGTCAGGAGGGTGACAGCCCCACAGAGAATGCCTGGGTGGGAGGCACTGGCCCCGGCCCGTCTCCACATCCGGCTCCAGCCACTCCTCAACAACTCAGACCCGAGCTCCCTGACTGCATGGACATAAAGCTCAATTGTTGCGCATTCTAACTGTTCATTACTCAGCAATGAGTCCCAAAAATATTTCCTCTGAGCTTAGACTCCTGTCTACAAGCCGGCCACTCCCCTTTCCACTCTGCAGAAGTCACTGGGGGCTGTCACATGCACAGCTACAGACTTGCCCCCTCCAGGCCACAGCCTTGGGTGTCTTAGCAAACATCTGTCCACTCCCTCAGAGGGCACAAACTGTTTCTTTGACTTCAGTTCCACTGTTCATTTTAATTCTGATTAAACTGAGCTTCATAATTTACACTGGTTTTCACATATGGTTGGGCATTACATTCTTTCATACCTCTATAGCTACAGATTTTGCCCTTTGAGATGCTGGGAAAGAAAACAGTTCTAACACTGTACATACTCGCAATTCAGAAGCATCTCTCACCCCAGAAAAGAGACTATGGCTCTCATTAATGATAAACTCAAGGAAGTGTTGATGTACTAGGTTTGGGTCTCCTACTCTCCTGGTATGGTCTTGTGCCTACAGAAGCCACTTCAAGTTACTCTGTTTCATCAGCCCACTGCCCACCACTCTTGGCTTCAGATCTGTAGAACACACGAAAGAAATATTAGAAATCATTAAGAAAATCTCCCAAGTCAGTTTTTCACTTTATTAACATGCGTTACTCATATGCACTACTAGGCTTTGGTGTGATATTTCAACACATACATAGAGCACAGAGTAATCAAATCAAGGTAATCAGCACTGCCATTTCATTTTGTTACATTCATAGCCTTTGAGCTCTCTGTGCTAAGAGCTGAGGTGTTTAGGGCCTCCCACAGGCAATGGGATCCAACAACTATGGACGCAACCTCTGCAACTGCAAGCCAGAACCAATCTTCCTGGTATTCAGTCAGTGAGGAACAGCTACCAAAGCCCACACTTTGTCTTCCTCTGCACTCTGCTCCCCCCTCTGCCATCAGGTCTCTCCATCCCTCTCTCTCTCGGCTTCTCCCTGTTTCTGCCAGCACCAACCCCAAGCGGAGGACACAGAAGCTAGCTGAGATCCTCCACTCTCTCCTAAGAACACAATTACCTACTACTGTCCCAACCACACAGGTGCCTTTGTAATTTATAGTCCAGATCTTGCCACAGCTCAGAAGACTTGGGGTAGCTTGTCAGAGACTGGGGAGCTGCAGAGAAACAGAAGCTCTTGCACACTGGCAGTGGGAATCTGAGTTAGAACAGCCACTCAGGACAACTGGATGGGGGTCCTCAAAACAGAGAAGACAGAACTATCATGCAGACCAGCAATCCCACCGCTGGGTCGAGAGCCAATAGAAATGAAGCTAGGATATCAGAAAGAGACCTGTATTCCCATGTTTATTGCAGTTTAACGTTTATAACAGTTTACAATAACCAAAATATAGACTCAACCTAAATGCCAATCTGTGGATAAACAGGTAAGGTGAACAGGTACCAGCGTGCCCAAGGCCCTGGCTTCAATTCCCACTGCCAGCAAAAACAAATCCTGTCATATATGAATGCAATGACATACCAGGTTGGAAGAGAAAGACTACGTAGAATTGAAACTAGAGCCAGTAAGGGGGTGGGGAGATCGGGATGTCCTGCAGGGCATGGCGGAGGTGTCAATATGGTCATTGAGAAGTGGAGAGTGGAGGAAAAAAAAATTCAGAGGGTAAAATCATGGCTGTCATGCGACAGAAAAAGGAAAGTGGCAAAGACACTACGTTACCTGTTAACTGCCAAGAGGACCAGGTAGAAGTGATGAAGGCATTTATAGCTTAGGAACAGGAAAACGAGCACGCCATGGAGACAAGATGAGGTGGGGTTAGCTGGGGCAAGCAGTGTGCTTCCCTGCGGGCAAGAGCTATTTGTGCTCAGGTCTCTATAATTAACCCAGCCTCGATGAACTCCAAATTGGGGGGGGGGAATCTCTCTGGTCCCAACAGTACACAGCGGTTCCCAGCAGCACGATTGTTCTCTAGCTCGGAAGGGAGAGAAGAAACAGTTTTGTTTATTTGGGGGGCTGAAGAGTGGGTGAGCAGGCTCTGGAGTCAGACTGTCGGGACTGAAATGCCGGTCCTAGTCCCACCTTGCTGAGCTTGGGAAGGTACCGACCCTCTCTGTGCCGCAGTGCCCTCCGAGGTGACAATGTGACACAAGTAGCTCCCTTCCCAGGATTACAGGAGTCCGCAGACCTGGTCCACAGTAGGCACCACTTACGTGTAAATGTGCTTACGTTTGCTTTTCAGGGAATAGCATCTATTCTGCCTCCAATTTATGAAGCCAAGTGTAGCCTGGAGGAGGCGGTGCACACCTGTAATCCCAGCACTTGGGAGACTGAGGCAGGAGGATCACTGCGAATTCAAGGCTAGCCTGGGCTGTGTAGTGAGTTCAAGAAAGAACAGAGAGAGAAAGAAAGAAAGAAAAAAAAAGAGGAGGGAAGAGAAGAGGAAGAGAAGAAAAACACTGCTTTAAGATGCAGCACTGGAGTCCTCTAAACTGGGTGACCTCAGCAGGGAGGGCCCTTGAGTGCCCAAGCGGCTCCTAAGCCAGCTGGTGCAGGGGAGAGGCACAGGGAGAGTGGGCAGACCCAGGAACCCAGGGGAGCCACATTGCTGCAACTCAAAGTGATGTTTTCTGCCCTCTTTCTTTCTGAGTTTTGAAC